AGGCGTTGCCCAGACCTTTTTTACTGACTTGGCATTTTAACCGTCTCACGCCATTGTTGCACTCTACGCCTTCCTCTTTTTCTTCTGCTACACTGAGTTCGTCATCCACACCCTTGTCGACAGCAGTTTCTTCACCTAACTTCAAATATATCAATTCAAACGCCAACGCCGCCAAGGACCTCACCTCCTATTTAGTTGCTACAATGGGTATCTCCAGGAAAAAAATGCAAAAAGCCAGAAATTTTACTTTGCATTCACATCTTGTTTCATGCAAAACCAAAATACTTCATCTTTTTTATTCTCCATGACGGTGAAAGTTTTTAAATATTTCTCCACTTGTTTTTTTAATAATATCTAAACTTGTTTCAACGTTTCATTAAACTTAGAAGATACAATGCAAAGTCTAATTTTATGAGAGATTTTAAGACTAAGCAATGCTTAGTTTTATGACATATCCATTAAAGAACCAAAGGAGTCGTGGGGGAAGAAACCAGAAGATTTCGGAGGATTCCTGAGTGTGTAAAATTGTATTAATCACCTCTTCAAAACACCAGTAATATAACGAAAGCTAAGAAAAAGATATGTAATGGGGGTGAGAATCATGTTGACGATGGAGCTTTCTATGGTGCTGTAAAGGATGCTGAGTGTGATGATTAATATGACGGTCGGAGCTAGGAGGCCGATTTCGATGACAACGTTGAGAAGAAATGGAAGGACGAATCTCCATTCCACCGTGGAGATAACCATTGCAGCGGCTAAATAGGAGGTGATTATTGCGACGACGGCGTTTAAAATTATGTATTCAAAGTTATTTGAAGGTACCTCTGAAGACTAGGATGTGGACGACAAACTCGATGTAGCGAAAGGCAAGAGAGCAAACTGCAACAATGGCGTGAGACGGTAAGAGAGACAACGAGCCACGTCAGCATATTTTAACGGAACCGTCGGTCAACGACTGTTTCCGTTATCAAAGGGCTAGATTAAGTTTTTTTCTATATTTAAGGGCCACATTGAATGTCATTATTATTTTAATTCTAATTTATATTTTTTTATTTTATATCATAAAAATTATCTACAGACTTTCATAAATCTATTGATATATTATATATTTTTAATGTCATTAATTTTCTTTTATACGTAGTATTCGATAAAACAGAAAAATTTTATGAGAATAATATCTATTTATTTTTATTACAGCAACACTCAAATGTTTAATAATATAATAAATTGGGTATGTTATATTTTAAATGTCTAACATTTTACTTATTCTCCATTTACTTCTTAAACAATTGCTTGCGATTTTATTAAAATCATTTTTAGCTACTGACGACTTTAAAAAATAATATTCAAATCATCATAAATCCTAAATATTTTTGGATTAATATTATCTATTTTTTCATTTTTCACTAATTCTACCTTAACTCAGAAGTGAATTTAATTTTATATTTGATAGGTTGTGAAAAATAAAATATGCAAATAATTCTAATATTTTTTTAATAGTCTATGATGATTATAAAATAGTATCTATTTAAAATATTCTTAATTTATTAACAACATACACACTCTATATATATAACTACTTAAATTTGAGATTTCTATAAAAAAAATATTTATTTTTATTACTGAGATAACTCAACGCTTTAACCGTAAAAAGAGTGGTATAGATAACTTGTAAAAGTAAAAGCAAGCCATTAGGCCCTTTAAGCTGTGAAACAGTCTAAGTGTTAGTAAGGCCTACGAAAGATCATACCCATTTCTACTATCGACTCTTTATTCAACACCTTAGCTGCTTATAGCTTTGGGCAGATAGTAATAAGCCGAATCCATGGCGCCCATGCTGCCATCACTTTTCTGCTGCCCTTTGTATTGAGATTGGAGAGGAATCCTTGACGTGTAAATCAAAGTCTACGTTGAAACACGAAGGCAAAGCAGTTGTTAAGATGGAAGAGCGTCAATTTCTTTTTCCATTTTTTGTTTTTCTGGCAAACGTGCAGTTGAGGCCACCCCATGCGCGGTCGGTAATAAGTTCCTCATTGACGTCATTTTACAATCTTTTATTGCCTTGTTAGGGACTATTCTGTTTAATTAATGAAGTGTGGACCAAAAGGATGGGATATTTGCTATTGGTCAAAGATGAAAAAGAAGAAGAAGAGGAAGGCAGAACAAAGGAGTAGAATATATAATAAATATTGGTTCATCTAATACCAATATGATATTCTTGGTAATTGGAAAGATGATTATGTTTTGTATCCTAAGCTTGCAACAATGGCAGTAGATATTTGGATATTTTCTATCAAAATTATTATTTTTTAATTGAATGAGGAGGGATAAATATGATTTAAGATTATTTTATACCTTCCAATAGATTTTTGGATTAAAATAAAATTTACTTATTCATATTCTTTTATTAGTATGAGGTTGTCCAAAATTTTCTTACCCATTTGACAATATATGCGCGCACACACACCATGTAAATCTAAAATCACTCAAATCTAAAATCACTCAAAAGTTTCAAAATTTAATTCATAATTTTATTTATATTTATATATAATGATACTTTTATAAATATATTAAATAATATATTAATTATATTAGGTCAAGCTAAATTAACTATTTTTTATTTTAAACTTGATTTCAAATCAATTTTAATTTTCTCTCTTTAAATTCGACTGTTACAAAATGATCACTCGACATTAACAAATATTAACAATCTTTACTGCAGTAAAGTAATATTGACGTGGCATGTTAAAGCAATTGACTCAACATATTTAATTGACCATTGGACTTCAGCATGCTTGACCGATCGTTTGACTTCAACATGCTTGACAAATCGTTTGACTATTCTTCTTCTTCTTCGACCACTGAAATTATTCTGAGCAATATTATTATTCCTCAAATTCAGCAAACTAATAGTAATTAACACATATATGGGAAGGAAGAGAACCATTAAAGTAATTCGAGGAAATATCAAAGCTTCGAATTGAAGGAAGATTGATGCTCCCCGGGATTGGCCTAGAAAAATCATTATTGCTCAAGTCAAGTTGCTCCAAATTCAACAGACGAAACAAGGACAGTGACAATGAATCTTTAAGGAAATTATGAGAAACATTGAGAATTTTAAGATGATCTAAACCAGCCAAAGCATTAGATAATTTCTCTATTTGACAGAAGAAGCAGAGCATCACTCCAGCCTGTTCAAAAATTGCAGTAAGTTATGAAATTTCTCCATTTTTTCTTTTTTTTCTTTCAATATTTAGTAATTGTTTACTACTTTTTTTCAAAGGAAAAAGTTTGATTCGATTCATTTAGGTTTTATTTTGGTTGAATTTTAGGAATTGAATGAATCAAAGGCTGAGCTGCTCAGTAGAATTCAAGGGTTGAAACAGGTATTTATGGGGGGGGTTTCATTTTATTTATTTTTGGTTTATGCTGTTTGAATTCTGAGTAGAAAAGAACATTTTTCTTTATTTTTCCAACAGGATCTGCAAAATTAGAGAAAAAAGTTAAAGAAATTAGAGCCATGGCTAGGGAAGCACGGGAAATCGAGAAGAAAGAACAGAAAAACCGTAATGAAGAAGGTGACATGCTTGATGAAGCTTTGAATTCTAAGTCGAAAATGGGGATCGAAAAGGAGATTGTGCTAGATTGAATATTTTAGAGAAGAAGTTGAATTCTAAGAGAGAGAGAGCTTTCCAGGGCCGTTTATAGGTTTATTGGATAAGTTAAAGGATGGTGAAGATGCAAAAGATGTGAACAACAGTTGTTTGTGAAGAAGTTTGAATTCAGAGGGCCTCAAAAGATTTCTAGCAATGGCACAAAGGGTTTTTCCGGTTTAAAGAATGGTAACCAATCGAGCTATGATAATGGTACAACTAATAGTGTTTGGATTGAGAAAATGGATGATAGAAAGACAGTTGGTAAGAAGTAGAAGAATAGTCAAACGGTCGGTTAAACATGTTGAGTCAGGTGATTTAACGTGTCAGGTTAGTATTTCTTATTATAGTAATGATTGTTAACGACTATTAACGTAAAGTGATCATTTTATAACAAAAGATAACATTAGTGACCGATTTATAATTTTTAAAACATTAGTGATAAAAACGAACAATAATTTAAACATTAGTGACCATCAACGTAGTTTACCGTATTTTAAATTAAAATCATTTTGGATTAGTATTTACTATAGATTAACTTTGTTGACATTTGATGGTCGGGGTTTAGGGCTGACTGACGACCTTGGGAGAACGGAAAGCAAAATGGCTGTAAAAAGAAGCAACGCGTAGACCAAAATGACTGCGACTTTGGCTTACAATGGGGAGTATGATTTGTCACTGCCACCCATTTCTTTTTGTTTCCCTCCTCCCCCCCCCCCCCCCTCATGGGGATGTGCGCTCTAAGCTGCTACACACTTTTGCATTTGCAGCCTCTGACTTTGATCATCTCGGCCCCCACATCAGAAATTTTCAGCCTTCAACTCCTTTCATCATATATAGCATTTGACCTTGATCTTTATTCTTCCATTAAACCTCAAAATCCTTTGCTCATCTTCTTCTTTGACTTGTGTTTCGGTTGACAACGGGTTGAACCACGAAACTTTCGTATCTCAAATGATTATCATGTGTCTTCTTTCCAAGTCCACTAATATGTATTATTATAGGTCGGGAAGAGCATCTACTAGAATTAAATTTACTATTAACTGATTAAAATTATATAAGATTATTGTTCTTATAAAATCTCTCGATTAAAATTGAGAGAGAAAAGAGAACTGACGACTGCTTTATCATTCAATGTTTTTTACCCTCCTCTAATCAGACGAGGAATTTAGATATTGATCGGCGGTTGCTCTTTTACGGAATATAATTTTCTATCCACTTCAAATGAAGTGAAACATCTACAGTAGCTATATTTTTTTTTCTCGTCAGAAATGGTACTAATGATATTGAACATTAGAGTGTGGTCATGAGTTTGCAGAGTTTGAAGGGTGGCGAAAGTGAATATAAAAATGTCAAGCATCATTCACAAAGGTGCAACCATATACACACATTTCTTCAAACCTGGTGAAAGCCGTAGCTAATAGCATAGCTGCACTCTGAATTGGGCCCCCCAAGAAAAGAAGAAAACAACTTGGAAATAGCAAAACAAAAATTACACATACTTATCATCCTATGAAGCAAGAAAAAGAAATCGTTAGTGATAAACATGGGGATTTCCTCAAGTTTAAGCTGTAAACATCAAGGACTCGCATCTCATCTCTTGTCTTGAATTATCTTTGTGGTACAAAATCATTGCTTGATGGCACAGTGATTCTTTTTTTTTTCTCCTTCTGGTCTTTTTCTATATTCCCTTGAGGAATAAAGTCGGCTGCCTCCTTTTTACCAATAGAATTTAACTGAATATTTGGTGGACTGTTGCTGATATCTCATCTGCTGATCTTAGCTTACAATCGTCCTCCATCTGCCATTTACCCATTTCCAACACACCACATATATGAACAAAAGGAAAAAAACCAACAAGGTAAGATGTTTGAGACATTTCGGAACTAGGGTTTTGATTTGAAAAGTCAAAGACCCAAGTTTAAAATACAAAAAACAAATTATATGTCACCTTGAGATTGAATGAGTAAAGAACCGAAGCTTGTAAAGAAGTAATGTTGAGATGCAGAACTGTTAATCTGAGACTTTCAAGGGTGACAATGCCTTGTACTAGCTGACCAGGTCTTCTTTCACACTGAATCTTTAAGCTGACATGATTGTGTACTACATTAACCTCTATTTCAGCTTCTCCCTTTACAACTTCAGGCTGTGAAATTTGTATTGCAGATTTTGACTCCGAATTATTACTGCTGCTGTTGTTGTTGATTTCTTCAGTTGTTCTCATTCTCTTTTGTGCTTCCATGGATTGAACAAGTTGCTCTAGTTCCTTGACGAAGTCAATTGCACCCCCTATAATAGACGCTTGGTCACCCTGCAAACCAAGAAAAGGAAAACATGGTAAGGAAAGTGAAGTTAAAGAAGTAAGTTGGGGACTAAAAATATTGGTGGGATTCGATTGATATACTCTTTGGATATAAGATGGAGGCATGAGAGAGCGGAGGGAATTTAGATAATCGTTCATTTGACGTCTACGCTTGCGTTCAACGGCAATGTGGGTCATCCGTTGGCTCTCAACTTCTTCTTTATTCTTAACCGGCTTCGTCCTCTTCCGCTTCCTTCGTTCTCTCGCAACGAGAGTGGATTTGGTGACGCTTTTACTGCAATTGACTGCGTTTTGGTTGAACTCGGAGCTCACAACATCAAAGCTTGAAGATGAAAAATGTGGGTTCTTTTTAAGGTCGTTCTTGGTCTCGGATTTGACCGGTGAATGCAAGTCCAGTGCTTCACGGGTGACACAACTTTCAAGCTTTAAAGCTTGGTTTTGTGTTTCCATGAAAGGGTCGTTGTTGTTCAAGTGTTGCAGTCTCAAAAGTGTCTGAAAGTTGGGGGTTTTGAAGGCGAAAAGCTGTGGGGGCTCAAGTTCAAACCTTTGGAGCATCTGAAGGAAAGGCATCTTATCTTTCAAGCTAAATATCGTATACTGTGCTTCTTCTTCGTCCCCCTCCTCTTCTTCTCTCCCGAAACCCAACAGCTCTGAGTTAACAAATCCATGTTCCAAACATTCCACGTCCAATGGATCTCCCATGAACTGCAATAAAGAAGAAAAAGAAAGCTGTCAGCAGCTATAAGAGGGAATGAGAATAGAATAGTAGTAATAAAATAAGCAGCAGTGCATTGAATGCAAGCAATTTTCAAAGGAGTAAATGCAGTACTAAAGAAAGCAAAGTAACACATACACAAGAACTAATTGGTTCTTGGAGGCTCTCCATAAATGCAAACCACCCCCAAGAAGCCGAAGACACGACTGAGTATGCCTTTAGCTTTGTGGTGTTGGCAATCCACACAGAAATGGAATTGACATTAAATGCTTTGAAGTGACCGAATGGGAATGCAACTCCAAGGTGGTGAAGATGAAGCTCAAAATGGCATTGAAACAAGGAGCAGATTGAGGTTAGGTAATACACAAGTGAGAGTGAGAGATATAGAGATAATAGAGTGATGTATTAGAGAATGCCAGAGTTGGTGAGACTTAGCAGACAGGAGAGATTCTGGTTCGCGAGGTCCCGATCATTATTGGCGGTGCAAGTTTTGTCCAGCACCGGGGACAGACAGTTGTGGGGACTACCCTTTTTTCCAGCCTACACTAGACAAAAAAAAAAAGGCTTTGGAAACTGGAAATTCATCCTATGGGTTCTGTCACCCGTCTGATGATGGCTCATTTCCTTACAACGCATCTCTACCCTTCTCCATTTTCGTTTTACTTTGGGTTTATTCCACCAAATATTCATCGATTATGACTCAAATTTATATTGCCATTTTTCCATTCTAAAACTCTTTTAACTTTTTATGATTATATATATCATAATCAAGTTAGGGGTGAGTGCTCGATCGACTCGAGTCGAGTAAAAAAATTTTGTGTTATTCAAGTTGATGAGTCATATTTTACAACTCGAAGTTGATTGGAAATTTTTTCGAGTCGAGTCAAGTTTATAAAATTCAAATCGAGTCAAGTCGAGTCGATTTTTCGAGTTTCATTTTAAATTTAATTGTAAATATTTATAATATTATAATATTATTTGGTTTCAATTTAACTGAGTTTCTATAACGATATATACAATGTAAATATGTTTCTACATATTCTTTTTCATATGTGATATACATATATCATACAAAATACAAAGATTCTACTCTAACTTGAAAACAAATCCACTTATTACTTAAAATTTCGATTTATTTGAGTTATATTTTACAACTCGATTTGAACTTAAATTTTTTTCGAGTCGAGTCGATTTATGAAACTATAACTCCAAGTCAATTCGAGTTGAAAAAATCGATTTTCGAATTGAGTTAAGTTTTGTTAACCCCTGAATCCAGTTATATATTTAGTTTAATTATTAATTTAAATATTAAATGTTAATTCATTGTTCGTTATCAATATCAAGATAGATATTAAAACATCTTTTTTTGTGACAGATATTAAACCATTCATAGTTCTTTATTCTTTCCTCTTTTATGATTGTTTTCCTATGAAACACACTTAAAATCGATGAAATTAAATAAAAATATATATCATTTTTAGGAGTTTGTTGGTTTTTTTTATTTGAGAAATTTTGAGTTTTTTGTTTGAAAATTCGAACAGTAAGAAATATTATTTCGAAAATATAAATTATATAGTTCAAAATTAATCTCGTTAAAAGATCATTATAATAGATAAAAAAATATTCACATGTTAAACTTTTAAATTGATTTTCATCGATTTTGAGAGGATTTCGTAGAAAACAATCATAGGTGAATAAAGAAGAGTAAAATGCAAGTGTTTTGACATCGATTTTATCGCAAAATACGACTGGTGATGAGTGATGGACAATTAGAACAGTGCAACATCAAAAAGTAAATAATTTAAAAGTTTAATGACAAAATCATTATATCCTAAAGCTCAATGTCTAAAATGATGTCGTTTTAGACATCAATAGTTACCGTCAAAATAATGTCATTTGTCCATATTATCATAATAACATAAAAATTTATTCATATGTACAGTTAAAATTAAACCGTCAAATAAAATAATTGATGTTAAAATCAAAATTAAGTTTTATATTATTTTAAGTTTTTAACAGTATTTTCAATATACAGAATATTAATCTACATTTTAATATATAATATAATTTATATAATTTGAAATTATAATAATACATATCATTATAGTGTAAGTGGTAAAAAAACATATCAAATTGGTATTTTATAAAAGAGTAAAAACTAAAAATAATATGGAGAACCAAGAAAGAGCTTGAGCTAGTTATTTATAAACGCCGACGAGCTTGAACAAAATTTGATAGTCATATTCAACGATTAGGCCTATAAATGAATCGAACGAATATAAATGAGGGTATGTTAATATTTGTTCGTTTAACTTTAACAGAATAAATGAATGAGCACGAACAACTAAACGAGCAAAATTTTTTGTTCATGTTCGTTCGTTTAAATGATAAACGAACACAAGTTAACGAACGAACATAAAATCAATTGGGTTTATATTTGAGAAGATTTTTTTTTCATTTCAAGTAATTTTAAGATTTATGTTTTCTTTAATTTATTTGTGTAATTTTTATTTGGATTTAAAATTAATTGAGTTTAAAAATATTAATGTGTTTAAAATTAAAATTTATTAAATCTTTATATTTCAAACGGGTTGGAGAACAAAAATGAAAATAAACAAACGAATATAAATGAACAAAAATAAACGAACAGATTATCGAACGTTCACGAACGTAAATGAATGAACGAGCTTTTTGTTTGTGTTCGTTCAGTTAATTAAACGAACATAAAATCTTATTCATATTCGTTCGTTTAATAAATAAACGAACACAAACAAACTTCTGCCAAACAGTTTACAAACTATTCGTTAAACGTTTAATTCGTTTACAGCCTATCCACGATAGACCAAACAAACATAAAATATGTCAATCCCATTCCCATGAATAAATCTAGTCCTATAACAACCTTATAAGTCGGATCTAAGCAGGGGTGCACTAGTGTAGGGATGGCAATGGACCAGATCAAGCTAAACTTAGATCCAGACCCATATTTACATCCTGGATTCATATTCCCCCAGGATCCGCGGGTCTAGAAAATTAGGACCCGAATCCAGATCCAATGAATCTCATGGATCCGAGTCCAAAACGGGTCTATTAAAAAATAAACATTCGACCTACTTTTTAACGTAATAAAACTGTCATCGACTAATTTCACATCATATCTCCAATGGAGAAAAGATTAATTCCAATACAATTAGTAACAAAATAAAAATGATAAACTACAATCTCAACAAAACTTCAACACAATTACACAGATGTCTTTTAAATAACACATGTAGATCACGAAACTTTCTATTGTCGAAAGCTGAGTACTGCACTTCTACCTCCTTAGAGTGTTAGTCTTCATCACTACTTAAATCATCAACATTTTAAAACAAACAACAACCAACCAAAGAGAAAATTTTGTTTAATGAAAATAATATTTGTGAAATTGTAATATTAATATTAAGGTTATATAATATAATAACTTTCTTATATACTATGTCAATGGTATCTTCCACTTTATCATCACAATCTTCGTTAATAGTGGAATAAGCTTGTGTTTCTTCAAAAGTGTCTTTGTTATATGACAACCATTTTTACGAAAATAGATTTAAAAATAATTATGACTTTATTTTATTGGAAAATCGGGATTTTGATAAATTGTGATTTAATTTGAAATTTTGGAGTTGTCATCGACCTTTGAATTAGGTAGGTTGAATACCTAAAAATGTCGTTTAAAGAAACTTTAAGAAAAAAAATATTTTAAAGATAAAAATTGGTATGCTTTTACCAAATATTCATTTTTAAGAGTTCGAGAGTCGATTACGTGTGGGGAAGGGTAAGCACCACTACAATGCCCAAAATTAGTACCTGATCGCCTATACATTGTCGTCGCAGTGGAATTTGCAAATTCGAGTCTAAAATTAAAATATGATCCCTTGTATATTAATTATTTACAAGTTCACTTTTCGTTTGAATGTCGTCGAATCGCGCTACTCTTGTCAAATGATGCTTTTCACTCCCATTCTACGACGAGTGTTTTTGAAGATGAATACAAATGAAAAATAGAATACTTTATAGTTTTGAAATAAATTAGCAAAATATTCATGTGATTGTATAAAGGTCAAAACATTTAGTATTAGCAAATAAATAATATATACAAACGTTTGATGTACAAATAATGTAAAATAATACTGCTATAATATAGATACATAATGCGAACATGAAAGAAGGTAGATGGGGTACAAAATCATTTATTAAATACATATACAAATATTTGTAAACTAGCAACATAAATGAACATGCTTTAATAGTAGGCATATATGAAATCATAGTTATAAATACGTATGGATGTTTATAACAAAAATATAAAATACACAATAGTTATCTATATGCATAGGTTACATTTAACATAAATGTATTATAATACATATACACTGAAATGAAATAAAAAAAGGCAATATAAAATTATAAAATAAAAGAACCATCAATCATGAAATAAGTTAAGTAAAATAATATAGTTAATATGTAAACAAGGCAAAGACTTATTTTAAGGCATGACAGAGGGCTAAATGAATACACAACAAAAATTAAATATTGGCTAAAATACGATAACATACAAACAGTGACCAATATGAAAGTGAAATAAAACTGAAAGTTCAAATTACAAAAACAAAAAACTGCATTTGATGCCAAAGTAGGATTCGTTTGATGACTAAAGTAGTATATTACAAAAGATCAAGGGACCTAAACTACATTTTACCCCTGAAAATTGAAAACACGGGTGAGGGGAGTGAAACTATGTCGTTTCGATCGGCGTATATAAGCCCGATTATAGGGGTTTTTTTCATCTTCTCTCATTTTTCATTTTCTAATTTCAAGAGAGAGAAAGAAACTCTCAGTTTTCTCTCACCGAGGGAGTCACCTATGGTTTATTACTGGCGTTCCTCCGCCGTTGGCCAAAAAATTCCAAAATACCCAAATATTCTCTCCTTTTCCTCCTAAGCCCGAATCCGAGACCCGCTTCTTATAGAAATGAGTAACAAACCCTAAATCTAAGAAATACATTTCAAAAAGAGAAAATAACCTCAGTGACCGAAAATTCCTTATAATATACGATTTTAACCAATTTTTTTTGGATTTGCCAAAATGACCAACAAAATCGCAATGCGATCTCTAAATCGCAACGCGATCTCCAGTATCGCAAATAAGTTTTCAGATTCGCAACGCGAATTTGGAAAATCGCAATGCGATTCTGACTATCGCAATGCGATAGTCCGAATTCGCGTTGCGATAGTCCAAAATCATTGCGATAGCACTGTTCACATTGCGATAGCACTGTTCACATTGCGATAGCACTGTTCACATTGCGATAGCACTGTTCACATTGCGA